CCTCAGACTTCCCTCTGACCCTGGCAGCTCTGTCTCTGCCACCGCAGCTCTGTTCTGTCCTTATTTCCCCTGGACCTGTCCGCATCCATCTGCCCTCCCCACGCCTTTGGTCTGGAGCCTCTGCTTTATTTATTTATTTTTTTAAATATATATTTTATTGATTTTTAACAGAGAGGAAGGGAGAGGAATAGAGAGTTAGAAACATCGATCAGCTGCCTCCTGCACACTCCCCACTGGGTCTGCGCCCGCAACCAAGGTACATGCCCTTGACCGGAATCGAACCTGGGACCCTTGAGTCCGCAGGCTGACGCTCTATCCACTGAGCCAAACCGGTTAGGGCGCCTCTGCTTTATTTATCCAGCTTCCCCAGGCCCCTGTCCTGCTGCTTTGATGCGCTTCTCTCAGGCCTCTTCCAATGGGGTGGCCTGAGCCTGAGCACAGAGCGGCCTCCCTCCCTGTGAGGACAGACACTTCAGGGCCAGGTGGAGTGCAGACCACGGCTCTCTGAGGTCTCCCAGGTAAACCCCTCGGGTTAAAGAGAGCAGTGTGGGATAAGGTAACCCTTATTCCATGACTTGGGGTGACCCCCATCCCGAAACACTTATCCCCCTCTGCCATCAGCACATTCTGCAGCCTCTTGGGTTACCTTGCTGCCTGGGTATCCCATTTTCTTGGGAGGGGATTCACTATTAGGGATGGGGAGGGGCCTGGAGGCAATGTTCCCAGAGGCTTGGTTAGAGCGATGGGGGTGGGGGGAGTTTAGGGGAGAGACAGGCAGTCCTGGCTTTGCTCACCAGGCCCTGGACACTAAATCCCTTGTTGATGGCTGCAGCAACCCCTCCCTGGGGTAGGGTTACCATCTTCTGCTCTGTCCCCTTGACCCTCTCCCCTCCCTGCTTCCCTTGTTCCCCCAGAGCGACTTCCTCTAGCCCCCAAAGGATGTCTCCCCTCTTCGGTCCCCCTAAGGTCGGAGTGTCTGCTGGCCTTTAAGCAAACGAGGTGAGGAAGGAGACTGGCAGGAGACACTGGGTCAGGGTGGATGAGACGGAAGCGGGTGAGGGACGGGAAAGGTGAAGGACAGAGGAGGAGTGGGCCGCAGGAAAGACCTGGGGGGGTGAGTTTGGAATAGGAGATTCAGTGCCACTGAGGAAATTGAGGCAACTGGGGGAGGGTCAGCAGCCGAAGACAGAAGTGAAGTCCCTCCCTACCCCCTCTCCTGTGGCTGGGCCACCTCAGCTTCCCTCTGAGTGACACCTCGGGCTGCAGCCCCACTGTTCCCCCTCTGTCAGCAGAAATATCTCTCTTCTGACCCCTCCTGCTGGAGCCTCTGCCAGCCAATCCCTGATCTGGGGGAGGGGGGAGCCTGCCCCCCCCTACTCCCTCATAAGGACCAGCTGGGGGCTGGGGGGGTGGCCAGCTGCTGCAAGTGGGACGGGGGTCAGAGCTTCCTGGAGGGAAGAAAAATCTGGGGGGGGCAGGAGACAAAAAGGAAGAAACCCAGACAAACAGGCAGGTGAACACACTGAGGAAGGCCCCCCACACGTGGAACGCCCCCAGAAGGAACACCGCCCCCTGGCCCCCAGGAAGGGAGCACAATGGAGGCTGCACACTCCAAGAGCACAGAAGAATGTCTGGCCTATTTTGGGGTGAGCGAGACCACAGGCCTCACCCCGGACCAAGTTAAGCGGCACATAGAGAAATACGGCCCCAATGGTAAGTGTCCTTTGG